GTTCTTCACGTGATGAATGCAACTTGTCTGTGGGTTCGAATATTAGAACATAAAGCCCCTAAAACCGTCAAATCCACACCATACAATATCACGACAAGTACGCAGTTCCTACAGATGACAGTCGAGATGGGAATGTGGTACGCTAACGAGAAGAACAGAACGAGAATTGATATGCCAAGAATATCTGATCTTTATGCGCTGGAGCAGGATGCTTTTTAATCGTGAGCACTGGCAGCAAGATGTTTCATTTTCTGGTCCAGGAGGTCGTTTGACCTACGTAATCTTGTCTTGGCATCTCATGAAAGACAACAGCAACAACAACAACAACCACAGGAAGGACAACAACGCCATTGTTGTCATCACAGAAAGAGCTGCCAGAATACAGCCAACGTCATCATCATCTTCATCATCATTAAACATCATCATCTCCATCATCATCGTCATCATCATCATCTCCATCATCGTCGTCGTCATCATCATCATCATCATCGTCTCCTTGAACTGATGGGGCTATTTTCTTAAGTATTTGCACAGTTCTAGCATTTTTTCTAGCTGTGTTCCTTTTTTTTTTTTTTTTCGATTGTTCTGTTTTTGTGCTCATGATTTTCTCTTCATTGCGGAGAAGTTGAAACGAAATGCCGATGTGCAATCATCCAAAAGCTTGATAAGTCGGTTTTGTAACAAACTCATTTCTTCTTGCAAAGTTTTTGAGGATGTAATGATCCGTTCATCAAAGCCGCGTGCAGTTTTTTGTCCTGTAAGAATTCTACCCGACGAGTGAATGGTACTTCGTAAATGTTCTTTGAGGACGTTCTTAAGAGTAGTTAGTGATTCTTTGATACTCTTTATATGTTCTAAGTTCTGTTTGATAGAGTGTGAGTCATGTGGTTTGAGAAGTACGTGGTTGAGAAACGGCTAGTAGCACAATACTTAGAACATCTTCATCATCTGGAGCAAAGGAAAAAAAAGAGGGCAGAGACCAGAGAACTTACRAGGAAGGAAGAAAAGAAGAAATGTTTCAATGACTTTAATTGGAAGGTTTATACAGGGATGGAGGTCTGAAAAAATTAAAGGTGTCAGTACTCGACGTGTATATAGAAAACAAGCGATTAAAATCTCCAGGGGAGCAAAAAAAAAACCGAAAAAGTGGATGCTGTGACAATGGATATTGCTTGGTCACTTTTGCCAACTCAACAGCCTACTAAACAATAGATTTTATGAGACTGACGACAGTGATGATGATGACCAAGATGAGGATGATGATATAGTGGTTGAAGAGATTGGAAGCGATGACGATGATCTTTCATCATTATCCTCTTCAGACACTGAAGATGAATTGCATCAAGAAGAAGAACAAATTGCTAGTCTGTTGAACACCACAAGATCAGGAAGAGTTTGCAGAACTTGGAGGGAGAGAGCAAGTGTTGCTGACTAAATTTTTTTTTGGCATAAGAACTAACTAAAACTATTAAATATTTTTACTATACTTTTCCATCATAACATTTTCAAACCGATGTATTGTATAAAGAATAAGTGCCTCGCAAGCAACACCACATATCAATCTAACTGCTATGTATGCTTATAGTTTGCAACGTTCCAGATTTATATACAAAAATTAAAGCTATTTATAGGAGGGGGAGGGCTGTAATTTTTTGGGCTGTCTTGTCAGAGGGGGCCAAAATTTTTAGGCTCAAATTCTATGTGGAGCCAAAATTTTTGATCCCTAGTTTCAAATAATTTACCGGCCCTCCCCCCCCAATAATTAATGACCGCTCCCCAAGTATCAGTAGTAATACCAGGGCTGTCAACTCTCCCGGATAAACCAGGAGTCTCCGGATTTTGGACCGTATCTCTCAGTCTCCAGATTAGAGTCTCAAATGTCCTAGATAATCCCCGAAGTTGACCATTACTTGTGAGACTCGACTTTCACAACCATAACATTCCAATTATTTTATGTTGTTTGTGTTATTTTACATTGCTAACAAAATCAAAACATTCCTCATGGCTGTTCTTGCAAGCAGGCCATTGTAATGTAAGCGATAATCTGATTGGTCAGAAATAAACCAATTACATCAAATGTTACAAAGCGAAAGACGTCTTTTCACACGGTTTTTGACGCGCTGTGACGTCATGTCCTTCCCTATCAATTCTCCAGATTTGAATATCTCGGGGGTTGACAGCCCTGTAATACCGTTGCTTTTATTATCAAGACAATGAAATACATACATGATATTTTAGTTTCCTGCTCTGCATTCATAAGTTTGTATGCCTTCCCCTCCCCCTCCCATTCTCAACTATTGACACATTTGGAACATGCCTTCTAGGAATATTGTACTAATAATTTTTTTGCTTATAAGGGGGACAGAATGGTGAAGAGTAATAAGAATTAGTAAATGTAATAGGACTCAATGCTGTCCAATTAAGAAATAATTGGACGAGGAAAATTCCGAGGACTGACAAAATTGGATAGGCCGAGTCCAATTTGGCAGTCAGAGGAATTTTTGAGTCAAATGTTTCACTCAGTCATAAAGCACTCTGGAAGTGCCGAAAGCACTCAAGAATTATAAGAAGCACTCACCTACATATAGCTCATGCTTTAATTTGGTGCTTACCTAACTTCCTGTGTGCTTTATTACTGAATGGAGCATGGAAAAAGTTCTTTAAATTTGCTCATCAAATTCACCTTTTTGGCGCTAACTTTCAAATTCGCCTTTTTGTATTGTGCTACGGTCACCAAAAAGTTCGGACATCGTTCTCGGATTCCCATACAAATTCACTGACTTTAAAGAGAAAATTTAGGTAGATTTCTTTAGTTAGCTCTCTGTAAGAAGAGCTTCAATCAAGCTAGTAGAAAAATGATTATTTACTTGTATTTAGAGAACTAACTAAACATTAACCAAGTAAATAGTTGATGAGTCAGTACAATTTGTACAGAAATTCGATGACAATGTCTGAAGTTTTTAATGACCGTAACACAATCTAAAACAATTTATACCCCATGATGGCTAGCGCTGAGAAGGTGAATTGAGACTCTCTTATAACATATATATTTGCACCTTGATTTTTCAACAGCTGTAATTTTACCCACCATGTGGATGTATTCACATGAAAGATATGGGGCAGAGCCATGGTTTTATGGGGTTATATTTGCTGCCTTCAGCTTTAGTTCTCTCATTTTGAGCCCCTTCTTTGGAATCTGGGTCGACTTTACCGAGAAGACTAAGAGTACTATTCTGTTTGCAAATCTGTTTGAAATAGGAGGTAATAAGATTTAAGATAACTGCTATTTCCATGAACATGCACACTCTATAGTTGCAATATTTATTGGTTGGAATTTGATGTTCACTTTGAATCACTGCTGCTGGTAAAAAATATGAAAGGTACCGACTGATTAGTTTTGATTGGGGGCAGCAATGAACCAAATTTCAGCGCAGCTCACAGCTACAGAGTTCGCATGTTTATGAAAATTTCAGAAATCAATTTTTACCATGTAAGAATTAACTGGGGCATTTATGACCAATGGAAGTGTGTTCACTTACTCAACAGGCACCCTGCACGAATGACTAATTTTTGCTTTCTTTTCAGGAAACATCCTATATTTTGTAGCTTGGTCTAAATACTGGATTTTCGCTGGCAGGCTAATTGCAGGTATATCTGAAGGGTCAATGGAATATATTGTTGAAATGGGTCAGTTCAAAGGCTTTGATTCTTAAATCTACTTCCATGAGGGGAGCTAAGTACAGAATGTTTTGTAAGCTATATAAAATTTTGGTATTTAATTTATCATGTAGTTTTAAAGAGATACTGAAAGTATGAACATATTTAGGTGTTGGAGCTGGTGCAGGCTCTGCTATCTTTGCTCAAATAGCAAGAACAACAACAGAAGAAGAAAGAACTGGAGTTTATTCAATTGCAATGGGCCTACGGCAATTTGGGTTGTTAGTAGGTAGGCATGATTGTAAGATTTTCCTTAATCAATTCTTGTTTCACGCAACCACTTTTCTTTCAATTTCAGGACCAGCCTTTAACATTTTCTTGAAGGAAACAAATTTCAGTATTGGACCCTTTAAGGTGGACCACTACACATCTCCAGGAGTAAGTAGACCTATTCATGGTTCCCTTGATGATAGTGAACCAATCACTGTTGAAGCAATTTTCCCAGTGGAATTCAAATCTTGTCCTACAAACAACTACACAGTATCTGGTTTAAATTTATAGTACTATTATAAAGATTATGAGACACTTTTCCTTTATTTTCAAAGGACAGTAAACGATAGAAACATAAATTTGTTATAAATTGTCCGAGATCAAAGTTTTAAATTCTGAAATATTCTAGATAATAATTATTTGTTGAGCTTGTGGGAAATAGCAACAGTAACTACAGGTAGCAGATTTATTAATTTACCATTTGTTTTATGCAGAAATGTAAATAAAGTTAAATTAAGCTATTTTCCCCCTATATGTTTTATCACTTATTCATAAATTTTCTTCTTTGAATAATGAGAACATTTTTTTCATTTTTTTTTTCCATTTTTTTTTAACATATGTAATTAATAGAACTACATGGTGTCCAATTTGGAAATAATTGATTTTTTTTTATTCAATTATTTCCAAATTGGACAGACATGCAATCCTATTGCAGATTAATAATATCATCCCAAACTATACTAGACTGTTCCATAAGTTGTAGTTTTCTCTCAAAAGAATGTGAATGTAAATGATCCAAATTAATCTTTAATTTGGACAGAAAAGAGAATTTGAAAATATTACAATAGTTGCTCATATGGGATTATAGAGTGATGATACAAAAATTAAATATGTATTTGGCCTGTTATATTCTTCCAGTTATTTATGGCTGCCTTGTGGCTGATTCAAGAGGTCATAATGATCTTCATGTACTATGATCTTCCCACAATCAATGAAGAAAATGATTACAATGAGGAGGAAGAGAAGAAACCATTGTTATCTAATGAGAGTATACAATCAAATGAAACAAAAGCTATAATGAATGGGACGACTCCTCCAGTTAGTGGAAAAGTGAATGCACATGATAGTTTAAAGGATCTTACTGGAAGCAATTCAACATCCAGGAAAAGACGAACATCAAGCTTATCAGAAAATATTGCTTTAGCTAAAAGTAAACACATTTTATCAGTGCTAGTACAAAGTTGACTTCTTGACACCATGTTTAAATCCTGACCTGGAAAAACTCAATATATATAAATATATTGTTGTTAGTCCAGTTAAATCTTTGTCTTGCTGGTCATTTTGACCAGCATTGTTGAGCCAGAAACCAGGCATGGCCAAGTTAAAACTAATGACTACATACGTAGTTCAAAGTGTGGGGTGGCTGTGGATTAACTTTCCAACTGAACTGAGCTAAGGTTGTTTGATGTCTTATCTTTCTTGCTATCAGAGTACTTTCTGGATATTCCTGATTTGAGTGGGAGGTGATAGATATGAGAATTCCCAATTATTTTTCAGATTTGATTTCTGAAGCTGTGGTTGTTATCCTTGCTTCACAATTTATAATGTTCTTCAATGAAACATCTTTTGAGGTATGTGTATGATAAGAAATATCAGCTGACCTCCTTGGCTGGAGCATAATGTTTCTCATTTCAGACCATGAACTTGTCGTTCCCTTGAGAATATGATTCTTTGTTTATTCATGTGTTTTTTTTATGTGTAACCATTAAACAAAGAAATGATACTCTAGGGAATGACGTGGTCAGAAATGGGAAAACATTACGCCCGAGCCGATGAGGTATATTCATTATCATTGACAAAAGTCATAAGCTATCTGAAGTTAACTAACAGTCTCTTAAGTAAAGTATTTCACCTCTTATCATTCTGATAATCTTTTACTGATGCCTTTGTCTCCTTTTCTTCTGGCTTTCTTTTAAAATTTTTTTTTTTTTCCGTTTAGGCATTGTATACCCCTCTGTCTAACTACTATCTGGGATGGAGAGAGCTTGAAATAAGCATATCATTTTGTTTGATAGCTTTAGAGGTACTGTACATTAAATATTATTTATGTTACTAGTTTAAATAAAGAAATCTTGTTTATCATTACATTTATCCTACATTCTGGTTAACTTAAACTTGTTTAATTTTCTTTTTAGGCTATATTGACCTTCATAATTGTCAAAAAATTGAGTACAAAACTTTCAGACAGGTATGGTATCTCTCCTTCCTCTCTCTCTTGCATAAAATATACTGTGAATTTTTAAAAAAATCAAACTATCTACAACATAGTGTTAAATTTACAACTTGTCCTTCAAAACTGATAACAGACATTTTTATTTTTATTTTTACTAGATGGCTCATGGTTATTGGAATAGCATTTGAGGCTTCTGCACTAATCTTGTATCTTATCATGCTAACTGATATTAAACCTTGTAAGTATCTCAGTCTTTATTCTCATTGATGAAGAAATTTACATGTTCTGCCATCTGGTATGATTATAGGTACTACTTTCACTGTGGAACGGATGACCACAGTAATAGGGGTGCAGCTCATGAACTAGAGACACAGACCAGTTAAAAAAGTATATCAGTTGAAAAACTGTCAAGTGTTATCCTCTATAAATAAAATTGGTGTCTTTCCTTTTCATTTGTATTGTCTTGTATCGTTTTTCTCACTAGTTCCAACATTTCCACACTCCCCTCCCCCTTAAAATTTATGTTTATGAATCTTTCAGTCCTTTTATATTAAGGTTGTGTGCATTTGCTTGAACTAATAGATGTTTAGTTTGAATGGTTCAGACATTTCAGTTTTCAAAATTACAATCTTCATTAGTGGTTATGAAGTTTGTGCTGCACCAATCATGCAGAGCGTGCCTTCCCAAATTTATTAATGTTTATTCTATTTCTTATTTTCAGATGAACCTAAAATTCTGCCAACAATAGTAATTGGAACCATACTTATTGTTTTTGGACTCCCATTTTTTTCTGTGGCAAATATTTCACTCTTATCCAAAATAACAGATAAAAGAACCCAAGGTGATTAATAATTGTAATATAATCGAGTGGAGTGCAAGTTGGTATGAAAACGAACGAGTGATTACAAAATTGTACGACCGCTTAGCACGGGTGCAATTTGTTAACTGAAGGTTTGATTTCAGACCAAAATTTCATGACACAAAGTTCAATTGCCTCTCTTGTGATCTCAGTTACTTTATATTTGAAAGAATTCCGTTTTCAGACAGATCGTGTTTTTGCGTATTTGTACAGGATTATACCAGGGTATTCAACGATCTGTAACAGGTGTTGCTACGATCCTTGGACCTTTGTGGGGAGGATCACTTGGACATCGTATGGTAATCATTCTTAGCGTGATGGCTGGACTCGAAGCTTTACTAGGGGTAAGCACTTCAAACAAAATATCGCGGCAAACCTGACAGAGCGGAAAAACCGGACGCATGCGCATTAGAGACTATTTTCATGAGCAATCCAATATGGCGGACGAGAGGCGGTAAAAATCTGCCTCTTGGAAAATTGCTCTGAAAACGGACAAAAACGCAGCAATGACACTCAAAACTTTAGAAAACAACTCATAATTCGTCAGAGCCCTTGA